CTATTTGGTCAGCTCCTCCCCCAGGAAGGTGGGGCAATTCATTTTTGAATGCTGTCCTCTATCCCATAGATCAGCTCCAGGAACCACCTCCTGGTGTATTTTGGGAGATTGGCCTGTCATCCCGCCCTTGCCCTCAGCCTTTGTGCTTTTCCTGATCTCTGCTGAGTGCTGACAGAGCTCTGGGTGGTTGGTTTGTTGCTCCAGTCCCTCTTCAGCCTTTATGTTTCTCCCGATCTCGATCTCTGCTGGGTGCTAGAGGCTCCTCTGGGAGTTTGGCTTGTTGCCTCTCTCCTGCTCTCAGCCTTTGCTGCTTTGCTGAGAGTTTGGTGCTGAGAGTTCAGCTCCTGGTCCCACCCCTATTTCCAGGGCAGGTTCAGCGTTCCACCCCAACCTCTGCTGTCAGTGTTAGATTACAGTTTGCTGTTTATGTTTTTCAGTTTTGTTGAGGGGTTTCAGTTTGCCCAGTGGCTACATTGGATTATTTTCCTGGGGTGGTGGGGTGTGTAAGGCAGTCTTGTGTTTTGCATGATGCTCACCTGTTCCTTCTGCAGTTTCATGCAAGCAGCTTTGGAGCAACTGGCTGGGAAAAATGGTGCTGATTTTTTCAGTGTTGCGTGGCATAGGGAGGCTTTCCATGGGCTAGGGGTCCAGGATTTTTCAGAGTTTTATTCTGTTGGGAGAAGAAATTAAAGGAAAAGATAAGCGGCCAGGTTTTTTTTTCTTTTTCCCAGAGCCAGAGGCTGGACATCTCTTTCTCGCTGTGCTGGGCTGAATTTTTGTGGTTGTTAGGTGCAATTAAAGGTTGATTTAAGGGCTAGTCTTTGAATTTTGTCAGCACCTAATATTATGGTGGTTATTATTTTGGCTAGAAGCAATCAGAATTGCTCAAGTGTTGCTCCAATGTCTCAAGTGGGTGTCTGGTGTCACAGAGCTTAGGAGTTCTCATTCCCTACATTAGCTGCCATTTTGGATCTCCCATACTGTATAATTAATAACAATGTATACTATATTGGAGAATTGGTAGGAAAATATATTTTAAATGTTCTCATAACAAAAATTATAAGCATATGAGGTGATGGATATGCAATTAACTTGATTCAAACATTTCACAATGTCTATGTGTATGCACATACCATTTGTCATTTAAAAATAACTTGGGGTGGAGGTGTAGCTCAAGAGATAGAGTGCCTCCATGAAGCCTCAAGTTGAAACCCTAATATTACCAAGTATTTTTAAAAGAATCACAATTTGCTACATCATACTTTTTCACCAGCTAGACAGAAATTGATAAATTTGTAACTCCAATACATTGAGACTGTGATGTTGTGGGAAAGGGCACCAATTTTGGAGTTTCTGTAGTTTGTTTTCCTGGAGGACAATTTGGCATTACCTATCAATAGCCTAGGTATTCTTAAAAGTTATTCATGAGGAGTTTTTCAAATATACAAGAGTATGTGTACAAGAATGTTTACCTTTTTTTACTAATGTTTCTAATGGAAAACAAATGGGAAACTACCATAATAGATTTTAAAGTGTGTATTTAAATAATTAATGTTTTAAATAATTATTTAGATGTAATGACATAGAAGGCTATTTACAGTAATTATTATTGAATGATTAAAAGTATTTTTACAAAAGGGTATGTGTACGCACATCAAATTTGGTTAACATACTTATACATGTATTGATTTAAAAATCTATATGCATAGAAAAAGATGTCTGGAAGATATGCACCAAAATGTTAGCAACACAAATTCTGGCTTTTTATAAATATGTGTATAAAACCAGACTATATGAAGACTCATATTAAAATATATTTTATATTAATAAAATTTGTTTTGTTTTTGTTTACCTCGTTTTCTAATGTGGAAATCTATTCCTTATTTGAAAAAATAATGAAAGTTTAAAAAGCATAAGCTAAGATTTTTAAGGATACATCTTATACAGTCTTATCATTGGGGACTTACTATTTGTATTTTAGAAAATTTTGAAGGAACTAGTCCCTCTTGCTGTAACAGCTTACTGTTAAGGTTAGTGGTCTAAATACTGGCATTAGCTCATTTTTAAACATTTGTATTATTTTAGATAATACTAGAAATATAGTTCTCATCTGAGAAGTTCCTGGAAAAGCAGAAATTGCTCTATAGTGGGAGACAAGAGATTCTGGCTCAGCTGTTGTCCCTAATTTCCTGTATGAACTTCGAAATTTTAGTCTCCTCTTTTTCTGGTCTTGGTTTCTTCATATAAAAAGTAACTGAATCAGATCTTGATGGCTTTTAATAGCTCTAATATTTTAGCAATATATAATGCACCTAGAAGCCAACCAATCTTTAGAGAACTATATGAAGAAGTATGGAGGCTTAGGGAAGAAAACACAAACTGTCTAAAATACTCTGTAGAGGTTTCTGAAGTTACCTACACAGGATGCTAATTGGTGCATCCCGCCCTTAATTTCTCTTTTAATGAGATTTTAAAATAAATTCTGTTAACTATCAAGATGTTTGAACTTTGGTATGGTTCTGACACCTGGTGGTCACGTAAAACATCACAGCTAAATTCTAATCCCCCAGACACTCATCTGCTCCCATTTCTTCCTCATTGAGACCATTTTTCTACCCCAGATTCATTTGTTTATAACACAATATTCACCCAACAAGCACTCAGTTGACCCTAAAATATTCAAGACACTTAACTAGACCTTTACTTTTGAGAAAAAGAAGTAAGAAAATGAGTATCTGACATGTAGAAAATTGCTGTTTATGACAAGGAAATAGACCCCCTAGAAAGGAGAGTAACCACATCATGCTTGATGTGTTAAGTACATTCTCACTACAGAAAAAGACCAGAAATATGGATACTCTGAGGACAGAGAAGTGACTTGTGGTTGGGAGAGGTCAAGAAAGGTTTCATGGAGGGAGTAAGCCTTGCCTTTTTGGGAGGCCTCTGTTTTCCCAAGTGTAAAACAGCCGTACTATCTCATTGTTTCATAGGACTGTTATTAGAGATTTATTCAGAGGTATATAAAGTACTTAGCATAGCACCAGGTCAAAAGTAGGCATTCAGTGATTGTTAATTATTTTTATAATAAGACTAAAGATGATCATGAATATTAATTATGCTTTAACTTTACTTCAAGACTAGTTTTGGTTCATGCTTGCATGTCTTTTTAAAAAATTAGGCTGGATATACAAAACATGATATTAATTATTTTAGCTAGTACAATGGGTAAATAAACCACAAAAAGGTGATAGTTTTGGCTCTCTTTACAGTTTACTAGACCATTTCACCAATTCAGCAATATAGTTAACTCAGTGAAAAAAAATCATTCAAAGTAGTGTTTGCCTGAATGACCTGATTGACTGCAGTGAACTGTCTGTTCAGTAAATACAGTCTATCTGGGAGTTCCATGAAGTCACTGCAAAGGCATAAAATAGGTTGTTTGACATTATATGGTCTGTGAATAGGTTAATTGCATTATGACATTTCTAACTGGTTGTGTTTAAGGTTGAGTATATAGTGTCTTAGACCCTATGTGCTTTTCAAACTCATATTTCAAGAGCATTGCAAAATTCATATTTACATTTGCATTTAAGTACTAGGTACTTAATGTTAAGGCTGTCTCATTTTTCTTTAAATTCCATAAAATTTATACCAAACTAACTGCCTTTATAAGCAATAAAAATACAATGAAATGTTAAAATCTTACTTATCCTTTTATTTCTACAATCAAATGTGTAAATCATATTTCCTAAAAATTATCAAATATCTGGTTGTTAAACTTTCCTTTTCAAGGGTTTATTTTGCCCTTGTAAAAGTTGTACTGTAGTGGTTTTGGGCCAAAAGCAATAAAGTTCTGACATAAAAACAAAACAAGAACAAGGACCATGTCATATTAGGAATGTGTTTCTAACCAAGATAAGGAAGATTTGAAAGAAGACATGATTGCTATCTTCAGATATTTGGAGACCTTTCATGTATAACAGGGAGTAGACTATTTTTTGGTATTGGCAGGCATAGCTAGAATGAAATGAGGGAAAGATTTTAACTCACTAGAGGGAAGAGCATTCTAAAAATTAAGATAATTAAAATGCTAACCATTGATATGAATAGCATTTCACTATAGTTGCCCAAACAGCCTAAGGAAATATAGCCTCTTGTTGCATCTAAAACCAGATACCCTCTAGTCTTTCACATATTCTGGTACTTGCTTGAGATGGTTACAAGGATAGTTTCAAAACTTGTGAATGTCTAGCTGCCATAATATTGTTAATAAACACACGTTTAGTCACATAAGCTCCTGAAAAGTGCTATAACTTATATGTTAAGACCAGTTTCTATCTCAGCCAAATTTTGAAGAGAGAAAAAGGTTACCTGAGTTTCACTATCTTTTTCAAGCCACCATCCTCCCAAGGCCTGATATCCTGCCAGCCTTTATCCAGACCCCTATCCCATATGTCATTTATGAAGTCTCACAGACTCAACACAGCAGCCATCAAGTCATTAATAAGGTAGCAAATGAAAATGAATTAAGCTTTCTTTTACCATGGTTGATTTTTTGGGAACTCAGTTAAATCTCAAACTTTGGATATTCAGGTGGAAACAAGTATAAAAATGAAACAAGGAACCTCAAAGGGTGATGGAATATATGTCTTAAAATTTTCAATGAGATCTTGCCTGTTCATTAATGCTACAGGTCTGATTGTTCCCTATTAAGGGTAAAACCTGACTGAAGTTATTGCTAAACTGTTGATCTTTTTGATTCCTGAAAATATCTTCCTTCGTGCTGTTATCTTTTTGTAGATTCACACACTATTTTTCTGTTTACGTAGCTTAAAACCTTTTGAATTTAGAAAAAAATCACACTTGAATACTGTTACGGTAGGTAAAAACATATTTATATATTAAACATAGATGGACATGCCCTTGACTATTTTTACTATATTTTTTGCAGAAATCATCACTCTAATGCTTTTCCTAAGGAATGAACATAAATGCACAAGATGGGAAGTAACAGCACAAACAGTACAAGAGCAAAGTGCACTGATCTTCAAATGCCTTTTCAGTATTCCCTCTACGCAACCACCTATATCCTCATATTCATCCCCGGTCTTCTGGCCAACAGTATAGCCTTGTGGGTTCTGTGCCGCTTCATCAGCAAGAAAAACAAAGCCATCATTTTCATGATCAACCTCTCTGTTGCTGACCTTGCTCATGTACTGTCCTTACCCCTCCGAATTTACTATTACATCAACCATCACTGGCCTTTTCAGAGGACCCTGTGCCTGCTGTGTTTCTACCTGAAGTATCTCAACATGTATGCCAGCATTTGCTTCCTGACATGCATCAGCCTTCAGAGGTGCCTCTTTCTCCTCAAGCCATTCAGGGCCAGAAACTGGAAGCGTAGGTATGATGTGGGCATCAGTGTGGCCATCTGGGTCATTGTGGGGACTGCCTGTTTGCCACTTCCCATTTTGAGAAGTCCTGGATTAGCCAACCACACTGAATCCTGCTTTGCAGATTTAGGGCTTTACCATATTAGCATGGCTTCCTCCATTGGCATGGTAACTGCCGCTGAACTTGGAGGGTTTGTATTGCCTGTTGTAATTATTACTTATTGCACATGGAAGACAAGAAAATCTTTACAGGAATTTCAAGCCACCCCTCAAAATACAAAAGAAAGAAAAAAAGCTTTGAAGATGGTCCTGATGTGTGCAGTGGTGTTCATTGTGTGTTTCACTCCTTACCATCTCAACTTCCCATTCTTTATGATGGTGAAGCAACATGTCTTTTCGAACTGCTCCTTAATTAAGAGCACTCTGTGTTTCCACATTATTTCCCTGTGTCTTGCAAATCTGAATTGTTGTCTTGATCCAGTTGTGTATTATTTTATGACTGCAGAATTTCGTGACCAATTTTCAGAACATGGCGGCTTAGTTCTTCAGTCATGTGTGAGGTGCAAGGACAGTGCTTTGGATATTCATCAGGAGGAGGAGGATCTTCAAACTATCTCTTTTGAATGTTTGCATGACTCCAATACAATGTAACCAAACAAGTAGCTAGAATAACCTATATGCTCTATCAGTTTAGCTGTGTCATTTTGAAGACTTTTTAAAAAATGATGTAGTTGAGAGACTTAAAGAAACATGATTCCCTTTGCTACATCATTAAAATGATCCTTCTGAAGGAATTGTCCATTCATATATTGTCCATCCTCATGGAAGCATATTTTTCTATAGACATTGAGAGAAAATATCCTTCATATATAAAGTAATGAGCAAGAGAGTGAATTTCTCATCATTGGGTCCAATTTTTTCACCTTCACCTGAGAGAAACAAATTGTAAGTTGAAAACTAGTGACCACAAGTGAATTATCCAAACACTGATAAGAATGCGTCAGAACAATATGATTCTAACTTTATTTAGGAAATATATACTACTTGAGCAAATTCTATTAAAAAGAGGAAATTCTTTTTGCTTTAAACTTAGGAATCATCAATAGTACAAGGGGGTTTCATGTGAAAATTCCATATATGCATGCAATGTTTTTTGGGATAGTTTAAAAAGGAAATTCTTTTAAAAATTCATATGAATTGTAGGAATTAATATATTTATATCTTGATATTCTTTGAGAATTTCCTTTGTTCTTCTTGGAGAAACAAACAATTCAGATGAACTTCAAATATCTCCAAAGAATCATGGGATTTACCTACCACACATATTCTTTAAGTACAAAATAAAATTGTGTTCTAACATATTTCACAAACTTGAGGTCAAAGGCTTAAAATGAAGACTCTTTGCTTGAATGTTTCTGTATGTGATGTGATGCATGTTTTTATATACTGGCACTAATTTAGAAAGTGTTTTTGCTATATTTGTTCATTAAAGTCAATTGTGCCATGCTCTGCTTAAATAGACTGCTTCATATACAACCTCAGATACAACTTCACTTTGATGCCTTTAAATCAATGAGTTAATGAACATTTTTCATAAATGAAGATGTATCAGTGAATTGAATCCTATTATAAGTGCAAAATGAAACTTTTTATATAAAAATATCTGTGGTTAAATAATTCTGTAATACAAACTACTCCCACTGGAAAATTTGGAACTTAAAATTTTGGTATATCGAGTTTCATTAAAATGGCATTTTCAAAAGCAATGGTAGTTTTATAAAATTATAAAGAACTATCATCTTGTCTTTACATGATTGCAAATTCACAAAATGTTTTATTTGTGTGATATTTTGTAGTAATGATTGCTAATCCAAACAAAAGCACATAATATTTACCACAGGGGAGAAGACAAGGTGAATCTAGGATTTTCTAAAATCTAGGAATCTGTATTTTAGACACTTGTATTCTGAAGAAATAATAGTGTAGCTTTTTAATTACCTGGATATTTAAAGCATTATGAGAGATGCATCTCTAAAATATATTTTTCTTTTCTGCTTAAGCAGTTTGTGCTAACCAGGGTAGCATGGTGTATGAAAAAAGCACTAACCCAGATTCAGAAGATCAGGATCATAATTTCAGGTCTACCAATGATAAGTTATGTGACCTTAGGCAAGATACGTCTCTCTGGGTTTTTGCTTTATTATCTATATATAAGAGGGATGGACTAGATGGGAACCTAAGGGGCATATTTTTTAAGAAGTGGTTTCTAAACACTAAAGTACTTTACAAATGTTTGCTGTTGTTAGTACTATTATTGTTGTTGTTGTTACTTAAGAACTGCTAACATTTAATATACTCTTTCAAGATGACTAATGGTCATCATTATAAACTGTTATTGTACCATATGGATTGCTTCTCTCAGGGTTTCATGTACACATGAAACCTATGTGTACATACATTAAAATAATACCAGTAATTTGTATTCTTTTTAGCTATACATACAGTGCTTATATCTTTACCTTTTCAAGCTGTCAGTTCTCATTTCTTGCCACTGCCAATAGGCCTGTTTTAACTAGTCCACATCATTTTGATTAATTCTTTTTAATTTCTGTGGTTTTGAAAGCACATGAATCAAACTAATTAGTGCAAAGATTTAACAACAAAAATGAGTAAAAGTCTGATTATTTAATTTTATTGAATAAGATATCTCTTGAAAATGGAAAATCTCCTATGGAACAAAGTATGTGAGTTTTAGTTTATTGATTTTATGACATCTATGTTAGTAATTCAAGGCTATTTTGCCTCCTCCCTGGCTCTGTCAACTGTGTTTAGATAGGTGAGTTTGCCAAATATTTGAATTCTTAATTGATTTCTGAGATATGATTAGTTTTTTTGACACCTATAATTTCTTGGAATAGAAATATTGTCATATATATGTTTATAATTAACTTTCTAAAATCACAGCTCATTTCATTAAGAAACAATATATTCAAAACAATTTAATCACTCTTAGTGAGGTTATTTTATATTTGCCATTATTCTGTTAAGAAAACATGTGCTCATTCTGGCCACTATTTCCTTCCTCTTTAGAGCACTTAGTAGAAATTCCCCTATGCATTTAATGCTCTATTTGAGAAACATTAATCAATTTTTGGAAATTGGCCTGCTGTTATCATGAATAATGAACATTTTCCATTAGGTTTGGTGAAGCACACAAAGCAGATTGGCTTCCCCATTTTGTTAAAGTTATCAGAATTCTCCAGAAATCTCCAATTTACTCTTACACCTATATGCAGTTACCTTGATCCACTATTTCCGGGGCTAGACAAATAGCCAAACCCAACTCTACTCCTTTTTCTTCAAAATATAGGTGGGAAGTATTTTTAAGAATGATATGATTGGGTATACAGCTATAATTGATTGTTACTAATTAGTGTTAGATTCTGTTCCCCTCCCTACCCTTTCTTACTTGTGTAATCTTAAACAAGATACTTTATCACTCTGAAGCTGTTTTCTCATCTGCAATGTGGTAATAATATTTGCCCTCTCTGCTTGACAAGACTTGTGAAGCTCCAATAAGAAAGGTAGATAAGAATTATTTTAAAACTGTAATGACTATTTAAACATAAGACATAGGGAGAGGTAGTACAAAGAATGAAATCAGGGAAGGGAGATAAAATTCCCTTCTCAATTTGTAATGACACATAGGATGTTAATAAATATTTTAGACAATCTATTAGCATCATAGAAAACATGAAGTTTTGAAGTAGTGTTCAGGGTCAGCACAGCACTAGATGAGGACATTTAAGGTAACAGAAAGAACCATTTACCAAGGGCACTACCATAGTTAACTTGAGTTCAGTCTCCCAGAAGAGAAAGTTATGGTTAGGGTCAAAGATTTCTGATGAAATAAAATACCAGACCCTTAGGGAAAAAACTCATATCCAATAGTCATTTTCTTCCATGGATAAATTATGTAGATGGAAAACAAGGTCTCCAGAACTTTGGGAAGGAATAGATTTGAGATAAATCTAGAGGAACTTAGTACTGTAAAGGGGAGAGATGAAGGCAGGAATAGGATGTGTACCAATATTATTTGAACATTGATATATTTGCTGAGGAACTTTTAAATGTTCAAAGTACTTCATTTGATATAATTCCTACAATTCCTGGACTAGTAATAATTAAATATGCATGAATTTGAAACATGCAAAAACTCAAAGTCTCTTGAAATTCATTGAACATGCCCACTTCTGGCTTTGTTCAAACTATTTTCATGTCGCAAATGTCTTTATCCTATTTTCTGCTTAATCGGGCTTACAAATCACTTAAAATTCAGGTTAAATCCTACTTGCTGTAAAACCATATCACTTTTCCTAGAAAGTAAGTCTTTTAAAAGTGTCCACTTTTTATTTCACTCTCTGATAGATTGAATTTAAGCCTAATTTCTTAGAGGTAACACTTCGGCAGTTAGTTTCCACCACTAGATTAATTAAGGTCTGTATATTTCTTTCTGTGAGGGAGACTATCATTTTAAGAATTAACTAGACAGTCTATTGATATGTGCTGAAAGTATTATTAACCTAGTTCTCTTGGTTGGATAGCTAAAATACTAATGCCTATAGAGTTGACATCAATAAATATTACAAGATTTATATACTCACTCTTTTTGCCTTTACTGGCCATGGCAACCACTAGAAGCTTGGAGCCTGAAAAGGTATTATTAAAATCAATATTTGCCATTAGAGTCATTGTTTCTTGGCAGATTAGTTGAATTTGTCAAATACAAATAAGGCCAAGGTCTGTTTGGCCCCTAGTTTACTAAGTAACCATATCACATTAGACTCTGACTTTCTTAATTCTACAAAATGTGTTTATAAATTGTGCTTTAAATATGTTTCAGGAACATTTTTGCTTTGATGTTGTGATTTGTAACAACAATCAAAGGATTGTCTATGCCTTCCAGTCTCAGTAGGGAAGTGGAGGTGTGAAAAAGTGGGTGTAGAATAAAGACAATATCTCATAAGATCAATAACTTTCTTCCTTTCTCATCTATGCTCCCAGTTATTTTATTTATTTCTAGTGAATCCAATAAAGTGATGATAAAACCAGATCTGTGTGAATTTCATCCAAGTTGTTAACAGTATCACCTTTTTGTATTCCTTCTTACAACTGCAAACCTGCCCTTGTTCTTGCATTCACTCCAGCACCAGTTCTACCTTGCAATTCTAATGTCATTCTTTTTTGGGCCATTCTTAAATAGTAGCTGCCTGGCTAGACTTTAATTGAACTTCAGTGTTTTTGTCTCATCTGGGAATCAACAAGAAAGTTACTGTCCTAAAAACAATCTAAGCCCCAACATTTGTGAGACTGTTAATCGAAAAGCCATTAGGGGAGGGAAGAAGTCACAAAAAGGCCACATATAGCTTAGTACCAGGATGGGAGTAGGCATATAAGGAAAATTAACACTTGTTGTTAGTTATTTGTATGCTACCATATAGGCTGGTTGCATATTCCTCATACTGTACTGTACTTAATTACCTTCTATTTCCCTATCTCAGCACAATTCCTTTGGTGCCCTCCAACAATGGCAAGAATACCCAGAACCCTTTGCATGACATTTAGTCTAACTGCAAACTTCATCCCACTCTGCCTCCATCCATTTCTCTACTGTAG